TGGACTCCAGCACCTGTGCCCAACCTAGGCGGCTCTGTTCCCTTCCCCTTGCCCACCCGTGCCTGGGCCTAACAAGTTCGCTCTAAACGGGGCTAGGGTGGCCCGGAGCCTGCGGTTCGGCTGGGGTCCCCACCCTCATCCCCCAGAGGCAGGGGATGTCCTCCTGAGAATAGAGTCTGGTCTGCTTTCCTGCCCACTGCCCCAAACACACTCTCGGGTCAACTCTGCCCAGCCCAAGACATACCCTGCTCCCACCCCCGGGGACACGCTCTCCCCTTCCCCCTCCTCTGGGCCACCACTGCCCTCCCCACCAGTTGCCCCAGCCTCTTTGTTTACATTCCTGCCCTTTCCCAGACCTGGCTCCCAGCCCCAGGCTGTCCCAGCCAGGGACCCGATCCTGTCCGAGGCCACCTCCTCCGGGAATGCACCTATCAAAGCATGAGCTTGCCCCTGGGCCAATGCAGGTGTCCCCCACACCTGTAGCCCCAGATGCTACTGGGGTGGCTCTATAGCATCCTGACACCTCCAGTCCAACCTTCCAGCCGGAAAGCACAGGCCCTATAGCCGCTCATCTTGGACCTGTCTTTGCCCCACATTGCCCAGAGCTGTCTCTCAGGGGAGCTGCTGAAACTGCCATAGGGCCAGAATTTTGTAAGACAGCTGGGAGGACAGGATTTCAGAGACAAGAGCCCAGTGCTACCTCCCACTTCCCAACTCAGTAACCTTGAATGAGTTCCTTGACCTTGGAGAACCTCAGTTTACTGTCCGGGAAAACTAGACAACCACTATCCACCCTAGAGCCCTTCTGTGGCCTTGGACAGCTTGCTGACAAGCCAGCCGACGGAGGGAGGGGTGAATGCCCCTGTCCCTGTCCTCTAGGCACCAGGGGCCCTGGCTTCCTGGGACATACGCTGGCTATGCCCTCTCCAGATGGGGAGCAGCCTCCTGGAGCTCCCTTTGTCCCTTCCCCGCTGCCAGGGCCTCTCCCCAGAGGGTGGTGCTGACCCAGATGGCGGGCTGGACCTTGAAGAGTTTACCCAATACCTGCAGGAGCGGGAACAGCGCCTGCTGCTCCTTTTCCACAGTCTGGATCGGAATCAGGATGGTAAGGCCCAGGGATGGGGCTGTGGGAGCCCGGGAGACGCCAATGGGCATAGAACTGATGATGCCAGGAGGAGGGGTAAGGCCCGCTTCTCCCTGATGATTCACAGGCTATTTTAGGAACCCTCCTCACCCCCAGCTAGGTAGGTGGTTTGGGGCCCAGCCAGCCCATCAAACCTTCTCTTCCTGGAGTGAGACCCCTATTATTTACCCTTAGATTTTTTAAAGGGATAAAGAGCCCCCCGATTGCTCCTGGATTCCCTATGGAACAGAGATCCTCCTCCCCATAGTATCTTCTAGGTCTCCAATACCACCTCTTGATCCTCTATGGTGCAGGGAGCCCCATAATTACCCCGACGTTCACCTCTTCATTTATTCATGGATCAGAGGATCCCCCAACATTGCCCAGTCCCACTTCTCTGATCCCAGCGGGGCAGGGATTCTCTAACCCTGCCACAAACTTCACCCAGGTTTCTGGATCCCCGGTCTTGCTAAACCACTCCCATTTCAAACTGTCCTGCTCCGCGGCCCCAGGGCCCCCCCACACACTCACACACATACTTCCCCACCTTGGTTCCCAGGTCACATCGATGTCTCTGAGATCCAGCAGAGTTTCCGAGCTCTGGGCATTTCTATCTCTCTGGAGCAGGCACAGAAAATTCTACACAGGTGAGTAGTTGGGGTCCAGAATCCCAGGTAACTCTGGCCCCTGGGATCCCTTGATTGCCTGGAGCCTCTGGGCCTTAGACCAAGTACCAGGGTGGTCGGAGCTGAGAAGTTGAGCTTTGGCGTCAAGTCCATCTTGGGCCAGTTGCTTCACTGCTCTGAGCCTCAGTTTCCCCCACTGTAAAGTGGCCAGCTCTCAGTGCAGTCGAGCTTGGTCTGCCTCCAAATCCAACCAGAGCCTCACTCCAGCCCACCCCCCAGCATCAGTCACTGATTCTATCCCACCCCCCAGCATGGACCGTGACGGCACTATGACTATCGACTGGCAGGAATGGCGTGACCACTTCCTGTTGCATTCATTGGAGAATATGGAAGACGTGCTCTACTTCTGGAAGCATTCCACGGTGAGGTGGGGGTAGCTTTCCTCCTCCCCTGTGAGCCTAGCTCAGGTCTCCCCAGGGTACGGAGGGGCTGGGTCAGGATGCTCTAGAACAGCGGTTCTCAACCTGCGGGTCGAGACCCCTTTGGGGATCGAACGACCCTTTCACAGGGGTCGCCTAAGACCATCGAAAAATACATATATAATTACATATTGTTTTTGTGATTAATCACTATGCTTTAATTATGTTCAATTTGTAACAATGAAAATACATTCTGCATATCAGATATTTACATTACGATTCATAACAGTAACAAAATTACAGTTATGAAGTAGCAATGAAAATAATTTTATGGTTGGAGGTCACCACAACATGAGGAACTGTATTAAAGGGTCGAGGCATTAGGAAGGTTGAGAACCACTGCTCTAGAAGGAGGAGCCACTGGAAGCAGCCAAGGAATGAGACTCGGCTCCTCTTTCCTTCCATCCAGAACTGGGGGGCTGAGGACCCATTTGGGGAGGTCTCTGCAATCTGATTGGAGCCCTTGAGACTTCCTGAGGGGCCTTTGGGAGCAGGCTGTGGGTACTGGGAGCGCAGGAAGGAAAGAGCTCACCAAATACGGCACCTGGCCTCCTACCCTCAACCCACGCAGCTCCCTTTCTGGTTTTTAAATGCCTCAATTAAGGATTCTGCTGCTAAAAAGACAAGAAGCCACTGCCTCCAGAGGTTCCAATGGGATCCACAGGAATTTGGGAGGGGTGCTCTAGATTGCCATTTCCGGGGGAGGGGGAATTCCTGAACAGTGCTTCTGGTAGGAACTGATGCATTTGGAGGGGATCCATTTGTGGGATATGGTGAGATCTTCTTGGGAGGTGCAGAAATTCATGAGGGGATTCATGGAGGCTTGGTTGGGAAGTTTATAGGAGTACTCTAGAGGAGGGATTATCTCTGTGGGAGAAATCCCTATGGGATTTGGTGAGACCTAGGGAGGGATCTGCAAAGTGCCTTATTTGAGAGGTCCCCTGTAGGATCTTGTGTGGCCCTGGAAGGATCTTCTGGAATCCTTATGTGGGACACCCTTGAGTGGGATCCTTCAGAGTGATCTGATTGGCTCTGGAGGGATCTTTATGTGGGAAATCCTTCAATGGCATTTGGTCAAAGTCCCCAAGGAGGGATATTAGGATCTTACATAGGAGACAGATGACTGACTTGGATGTTTTGGTGGGATCTGGTAGGGAATCTCCAAGATTCATTGATGGACTGTTTGGGTGTCTGAGGATTCTTGGAGACACCCCTGTTTAGAGCTGTGTTACATCTCTCCACCCCTGCATCCTCAGGTCCTGGACATTGGCGAGTGCCTGACTATCCCTGATGAGTTTTCAGAGCAGGAGAAGCTGACCGGCATGTGGTGGAAGCAGCTGGTGGCCGGTGCAGTGGCGGGCGCTGTGTCACGGACAGGCACAGCCCCTCTGGACCGCCTCAAGGTCTTCATGCAGGTAAGGGACCCTGGAGAGACGGCCCTCTTCCTGAGACCTGGGCCCTGGAAGGGACTGCAAAGTCACCTTGTCTCCCTGCATAGGTCCATTCCTCCAAGACCAACCAGCTGAACATCCTTGGGGGCCTACGGAACATGATCCAAGAGGGGGGCGTGCACTCTCTATGGCGTGGCAACGGCATCAATGTGCTCAAGATTGCACCTGAGTCAGCTATCAAGTTCATGGCCTATGAGCAGGTGGGGGCAATTGTGGGGAGGCATGAGTTAGGATTCAGAGGATTGGCTTGGGGGCAGGGGATGTCTGCAGGTCCCCAGGAGTGCACATCTGTTCCCCTGCATGATGCCCATGACAGGAGGACAGTAAAGGGGCGGCCCAAGTACATGGAAAGCTCACCCCCTGAGGTCCTGCCCACCGCTGTGTCTCCCACCCTCAGTTCAAGCGGGCCATTCGGGGACAGCAAGAGACACTGCATGTGCAGGAGCGCTTTGTGGCTGGATCCTTGGCTGGTGCTACAGCCCAAACCATCATTTACCCCATGGAGGTGAGAAGGGGGGACCCTGACTGAGGCCCCATTGCAGGGTGGGGAGGCCTGGAATAGTCATTTCTCTTCGTGGTGTGATAAGCATTGGGATTATAACGTTGCCTCTCCCTGACTCAGACTGTAGCTTGTTACAGCAGTGCTGTTTCATGTCTAGCCTCTCTGGGAACTGCAATTTGAAATGTGACTTGTGGGGATGGTGGTGTTGTTTGTAACTGTTTAGACGGCCATTGTGGGAGAAGCCATTTATGGCTATACCTCTTCTAAGGATGTTGGTTTCCAAAATGCTTGTTCCCAAGGGTATCATTTCTAGGTAAACCTGTTTTCAGAGAAATCATTGTAGGTTTTAGGTTGTGTAGTGCGTCAGGTAGGATTCTGAGTGATGAAAAACGCAAATCACTTAAGTGAAGTCTAACGGTGAGAGGTTCAGAGCTGGCATGTGGCTTCAAAGTGTTAGAGACACAGGCTCCTTCCCACTATCTTGTTCCACCACCTCCACACGTAGCATCCACCTTGTGGACAAAAATGACTTCTTGTTCCAGTCATTATCACATCCACATTCCAGCCAAGAAGGAAGACTAGACAGAGAAAAGAACATCTCCTGCCTTTAAGAATGCTTTTCGAAAGTTACACATACCTCTTCTCCTTCTGCTTCTGTTTCATTGGCTAGGGCTTAATCACATGGCCCTACGCCTAGGGAAACTGAGAAATGTAGTCTTTATTTCTAAAGGCTATGGACCATAATTTCCTGAAAATTATGGTTCCTTTTATTAAGGAAGAAGAGACCGTGATATTGGAGGACTGTTAGCCGTGGCTGCCACATGTAACCATTTTTAAGTATGGAGATTAGAGATACCAGAAGATTCTAGAGAAAGCGGTTTTTTAAATTCACTTTTTCTCAGGGTATCTCCTTCCAGGAGTAGCTGTTTATAGGTGTCTTCCTTCCTGGGTGTAGTGATTCCAGAGGCAACTTTCCAGGGATAACCGGGTTCTCCCCAGGTACTAAAGACACGGTTGACCCTTCGCCGGACGGGCCAGTACAAGGGGCTGTTGGACTGTGCATGGCGGATCATGGAGCGAGAAGGGCCCCGTGCCTTCTACCATGGCTACCTGCCCAACGTGCTGGGCATCATTCCCTATGCGGGCATCGATCTGGCCGTCTATGAGGTCTGTGGGCAGCCCTCCCCTCTCTCCTTTCTTCTTCCCTCTGGGATCTGCCCACGGGCCACCCATTCCTGTGGGGCTGACTCAGTTGAACTCCAGAACCAGGGGAGACAATCCTGGGGTAGAGAAGTACCATGGACCTGGGGACCCTGGGGAACCCTTTCAGGATTAGATAGCCTCACTCTTTCACTTACCCCTGCAGTTCAGCCTTCCGGGGTCTCAGGACACATGATAGTCGGGACCCCATATTTGCTGGGCACTGGGCAGGCTGCTGTATCAAACGAGAACAACACAGCCCTTGCCCTCCTGGAAACCACTTCAACAAACTAGGAAGCCAGTCAACCAGCAAATAAGTAATTTTAGATCCTGATGCACTCACAGGAGATAATAAAGCAGGCTATGTAATCAAAAGTAGCAGTGGACAAAAGAGCAGGTCTGGGAATGTCTAAGGAGAGGGAGAGAAACATTGATGTGAGAGCAGAACATCAATTTGTTGCCTCCTGCATGCCCCCTACTGTGGATCAAGCCCACAGCCTGGGCATGTGCCCCGACTGGGAATCAAACTGGCAAACTTTCGGTGCACGAAACAACATCAACCAACTGAGTCACACTGGCCAGGGCTTCTCTGACTCTTATAAGGACCCTTGTGATGACATTGAGCCAACCTGAATACTCTAGGATCATCTCCCATCTCAAGGTCCTTAACTTAATCCCATTGCAAAATTCTTTTTGCCATGTAAGATTCCATATTCACATGATCCAGGGACTAGGGGGGCCATCATTCCATATACCATAGAGGGTAGAGGTGGGGACTGAGTGAGAAGGTGCAGGTAAAATGATTGTGTTGCATTTAGGGGTACAAAGTGCTGAACTAGCTGTCATGGGATATAGCGAGATCTCTGAAGCCAAGGTCCTAGTGTCACCCACCTTCAACCCACCCTATTCCCCTCTTCACCCCAGACCCTGAAGAACCGGTGGCTCCAGCAATATAGCCATGACTCGGCTGACCCAGGCATCCTCGTGCTCCTGGCCTGTGGCACTATCTCCAGCACTTGTGGCCAGATAGCCAGTTACCCCCTGGCCCTGGTCCGGACCCGTATGCAGGCCCAAGGTGAGGCCTGGGTGGGAGGATGGGTGAGAAGGTCTCACAATTTGGGTCCCACCTCCACTTCCCCAGCTCTTCCTCCCGGGTAGGTAGAATCCCAGGCTGGAATACTCCTGGATTTGAATGGCCCAACCAATTCCCAACCTTTCTCTGGGCCTCAGTGTACCCATTTGTGACCATGGAATGGGAGCCCTTTGCCCTAACTAGGAGAGCGTATGCAATGAGTGGTGGAAGGGCCCTAGCAGTCTTAGCTGGGAGGTCACTTGGTAGACTTCAGCATATTTGGGTTGGTCATTCAAGATCTAATTTGCAAGGCTGGGTTAATAAGGAAAGGTGAGGAACGGGTTAAGGAGGGGCAGGGCCAGGCTGTTTATCATCTTGTGTTTCTCTGTATTTTTCTTTCATGGGTTCTTTCCTTGATTCCCCCTACTATCCCTGAATCTATTTTGAGAATTTCCTCGGAAATGTTAGCATTTGTGTCCCATGATTTTTGCTGAAGGATGATCAAGGCATAAGACAGATGTAGTTCACAGCCTGGAGAGGAAGAAAGATGCCGAATAAGCCATTCCACAGTTGATTATGGATTTAGGGTTGAATAAAGGGGAAAAGGAGCCTGACTTAGACTGGGCTGCCCAGAAGGGCTTCCATGAAGAACTGGCTTTAGAATGGAGGTTGCAAGGATGAGTTAGCTGGGAGAAGTGGGAGCGAATCATTCCAGGAAGAGGACACTACTGTGCCCTCTCCCACTACACACACTCATACCTACTCTGTTTTGAATAGTCCCCAAACTTGGGCCCTCCAGATTGAAGTGAAAAGGTGAACAGTCCATTCCAAGGCCAGTAGAAGTCCTGACTCTTGAGTGGTAGGTCCTGCTGTTAGTCTAACCTTCCTTTATCCTGCTGTAACTGCCACTTGGCCCAGCCCTGAGGGATGGGCGGGGGAAGGGAGAGGAGGACCTTTGACCTGACCTGGCCCCTACCCCTCCCAGCCTCCATCGAGGGCGCCCCCCAGCTCTCCATGCTGGGTCTGTTCCGTCACATCCTGTCCCAGGAAGGCATACCAGGCCTCTACAGGGGCATCGCCCCCAACTTCATGAAGGTTATCCCAGCTGTGAGCATCTCCTATGTGGTCTACGAGAACATGAAGCAGGCTCTGGGGGTCACATCCAGGTGAGGGACCTGGCCTCACTAAGATTCCTCGCCTCAATCATGACGACCCCTACACCTCAGAGACTGATGGCCCAGCCAATGGATCCCACTCAAACCACAGGATCCCTATACTTCATCCACTGGGTCCTGCATCCCACATCCCACCGAATGGGTTCCATATTTCCCTGACTCCCTTCCCCTCACCCCTGCCCCACACACACTGGGTCCTAGACCTCCATGTCTTAACCACTGGATCCCCCACAACTCATCTAATGAATCTTGAAACCCTAACCACAGGAGCACATATCCCTATATCTAAGCACCCAGACCCCAGCTCCCTCAGGCACCAGATCCAGTGTCTTCCGACAGCACTAGATCCCAGATCCCCAGCCCCACTGGCAGATCCCAGACCTCCACTCTCCAATCCCTGGATTCCCAAGCTTGGCCACTGGATCCTGAATATTAAGAAACCTCAGCCACCAGCTCTTGGCCATGTGATGCCCAGATCCTGGGGCCCCCACTACTGGATCCTAGATCCCCTCATCCCAGCCAGTGGATTCCTGAGTTCCTTTACCTCGCTGGGTCCCAGATCCCTCTGCTTTGACTGCCAGATCCCTACATTTAAACCACTACATCCTCAGCCCCCAGCCCACCAGATTCCACATCCACAAGCCCTGAGACACCGGCTCCTGGCTCCTAAAACCACAGTCACGAGAGCCCAGAGGCAGAGCCACTGGGTCCTGGCAACTGTAGCTGTTGGCTCTCTAATCCCTTCACGCAGGCCCTGGATACTGAAATTCCACCCACAGGAAACAGACCCTGACACTCCCAGGCACTGGATCCCACCTCCTTAGCCCCTGGATTCTGACCTGAATCCTCCCAGACACTGGCTCAGATCCCACATCTAGATCCCAGTAGGCTAATCACAGCAAAATGCCTCCATATGGCCCCTCACCCAGACACACATGAGAGCTGAGACCTTCCCCACCACAACATGGACCTGGGAGCCTGTAGGAGTCCCACGTCCTGGCCTCCTGGCTCCAGAAAACCCATGGGGCTTGTTCAATGTCCTGATATGGCTCGATACCCCTCTCACGCCTTGCACAGAAACTAGATCCCCCCACTTCCCCAGCATGGCCATACCTCTGGGCCCTATGAGGACAATGCTCCCTCCAACGCTCCCCCCAACGCTCTGCAGCGTCTTCCACTCCCCACCTTATGAGCCGATAACTCCCAGAGCCTGGGTCCTCTGGAGGGTCCCGCTGCTCTTTCTTGGGGGCTGGCAGTGAGGCAATCTGAGGTGGGGGACACTTTAAGGGGACCTCCCCCCAGCCTCAGCATTATCAGCCTCTCCTCAGGCTTCAGAGGTGGAAGCCAAGAGCAGGTTTGTCTACACAGACCATCCTTCAGATCATGCAAAATGAACCAAACCCCCAGAACTCATTCCAGGTCTACTTTCCTATGGAGAGGAGCAGACACTCCCTCACCCCACCCCTAGCCCCCAACTAACCCAAGCCCCAACACCCCCATATACATTCTGCACTTTATGGTTGGATTCTTAATTGGGGGACCCCTTCCTCCACTCCTCCCAAGTCCTTGGAGAACCCCATTAAAGGACTACAGAAGAGGAACCACTGTTTGTGACAGGTAAAGGACCTCCCCAAGACTTCCACCTCTCCCCACCTATGCCATGCCCCACATCCCTGCCTGTATGTGTTATTTCAAAGCAAAAGAACAAAAGGAATACATTTCTAAGCTCTTTTCATTGTGGTTTTTACTGAAAGGGGCGGGTGGAGGTGGGACACCCTCAAACTATCTACAGGAAAAGGACATGGACCATCTTCCATCACTCACAGCTGGAGGAGACCAAGAAATGACTCCACTGAGCCTCAGCTTCCACATCTGTGAAGTGGGGCAAGGAGAAGTCCATGTGCAGGAGCCCTTCTAATTGTTTTCGTATTGTTCCTAATTACACAAGTGTATTCGTTTCCCGGGGCTGTCATAACAAGTTACCACAAATGGGGCTTAAAACAACACTTTTTTTTTTTAATATATTTTATTGATTTTTTACAGAGAGGAAGGGAGAGAGATAGAGAGTTAGAAACATCGATGAGAGAGGAACATCAATCAGCTGCCTCCTGCACATCTCCCACTGGGGATGTGCCCGCAACCCAGGTACATGCCCTTGACCGGAATCGAACCTGGGACCTTTCAGTCCGCAAGCCGACGCTCTATCCACTGAGCCAAACCGGTTTCGGCAACAACACATTTTTTGATGGATATATTTGCATTGTGGTAAAATACACATAACATACAATTTACCATTTTAATCATTTTTTAAAAAAATATAGACTGCTTCATGAGTCTGTGTGTCATCCTTGTGCCTGGGGCCATGCTAATCTCTATCATTCCAGTTTCAGTACCCGTGCTGCTAAAGCGAGCACACCATTTTAATCATGTTTAGGTGTACAGTTCAGTGGTATTAAATACATTCACATTGTTGTGCAACCATCCCCACCATCCGTCCCCGGAACTTTCTTACCTTCCCAAATTGACACTCTGTCCACATCACACACTAACTCCCCTTCCCCCGGCCTCTGGCTCCCACCATCTACTTCCTATCTCTGAATCTGACTCTAGGGACTTCCTGTGAGTGGAATCACACAGTATGTGTCCTTTTTGTCGGGTTATTTCACTGAGCATAATGTCCTCAGAATTTATCTATGTTGCAGTATGTGTCAGAATTTACTTCCTTTTGACGGCTGAGTAATATTCCATTGTCTGAATGGTCCATTCACCCATCAGTAGACACTTGGATTTTTCCCACCTTTTGGCTATCATGAATAAAAACAATAGAGATTTGGGGTCATGGGGCGTGGGAAAAGGGGGCATCTGTAATACTTTCAACAATAAAGACATTTTAAAAAACACGTACAAAAGCAGAACTTTATTCGCTCACAGTTGTAGAGGGCAGAAGTCAGAAATCGAGGTGTTAGCATGCTTACGCTCCCTCTGAAGACATCAGGGGAGGATCCTTCTTTGCCTCTTCCAGCTTCTGGTGGCTGCCAGCAAACCTTGGTGTTCCTTGGCTTGTCGACCCATCATTCCACTTTCTCCCTGTCTTTACATGTCCAAACTCTCCTGTGTGGACCGCGATAGTCACCCTCCGAGATGTCCCCCAATGACTTCTGCCTTTAGTATTTGCATTCTTGTATAATCCCTTCTCTCATTGTACCAAAGTGAGTTTGTTTGGGCCAGAGAATACAGCAGAATTGACGGTATATCACTTCCAGGATTAGGTTATAAGTGAACTGCAGCTACTATCTTGTTTGCATTTTAAGGGGGGGGGGCGGTAATTCATTACGTCGCAGTAGCTCACTGATACATACGCACATCCACAGATACGATTTTCACATACTCAAATAAGGGATCAAACCTTGCTAACTTTTGTATTTTTACTTCCTTTGAACTATGTCCTCAGTGTGGGAAACTGTTTATTGCCTTCATTATCTGA